ATCACAAAAGAAGATCTTAAATTCAAAGATAATGGGTTAAGAGAAGCACAACAGCAGTTAAAATTCTCGTGACCTATAGTCTCCTTCATGACGCAGTTAAACTGACCAGAGTTCAAATCCAACCTCACATACTCACTTACTAGCTGGATGACTCTAGGCAAGTCACTCACCCTCTGTCAGCCTCAGTTTCCTCAGCTCTGAAATAGGGATAATAATAGCACCTGCCTCCCAAGGTTGTGAGAATCAAATGAGATAGTATTTGTAAAGCGCTTGGCATAATATCTGGTCCTTAACAAATGCTGATTTCCTTCCCTTGCATCATGATTTGAAATTACATAAGAATCATGTTGATCAATCCTGGATTAGACCACATCAAGGTTTCTGACTTCATGAATTCCATATCCCAAACCAGCAGGCATTTATTAAATATCTTCTATGCTAAAGCTAATGCGCTAGACAATGGGGATACAAAAAATGGAAAAAAGTCCTCCCCCTCAAAGGGTTTACATTCTGTGGAGAGGACACATGCACACAGTTGTAAAGCACATGCTAAGTTGAGGGAAATGGAACAAGCAGAAATAACTAATGGGATTAGGAAAGACTTTCCTGGAGATACAATACACAAAATGAGCCTTGAAGGAAATGAGGGGATTGTACAAGGCAAGGGTAAGGAAGGAGCACGTTCCTGGTATGGAGGGACAGCCTGCACAAGGGCAAGGAGGTGGAAGCAGCAAGAATGATGGTTTAGCTGATCCCAGGAAAATAAACTGGAGCCCAATCATGAAGGACTTTCAATGCCAAGTTGAAGAGTCTGGGTTGTTTTTATTTCTAGGGGTTATAGGGAGCCATTCGAGTTTCTTGAACATGGGAGTGGCACAGTCAGACATACACTTTGGAAGTATTATTGTGGCAGCTACACAGAAGATCAAATGGAGAGAGGAGAGAAGCCACAAGTAAGAGGCTGCTGAATAGTACAGGTGAGAGGCAATGAGGACCTGAACTCTGGTAGTGGCTGTGTGAGAGTGAATGAAAAGGGACGGAAACAAAAGACATCGTGGAGGTAGAAGCACAAGCTCTGGAAACTAAATGGGTGTGAAGCAGGGAGTTAAGGGAGAAGGAAGAGCTGAGGATGCTTGAGGTTATGAACACTGATGACTGGAAAGATGGTGGCAATCTCAACAGAAATAGAGACATAGGGGAAGATGATGAATTCCATTTTGGACATGTTGAGTTTAAGATGGTTATAGGACATTCAAGTGGATATGTCCAACAAAACTGGGCTGTATATATATATATATATATATATATATATATATATATATATGTATATGGGAGTCACTTGCATGAAGATTATAACTGAACTCATGGCAGAGAGATCATCAAAAGAGAGGGTACAGTGAGAGAAGAAAAGGGACCAGGGCAGAGCTACTCCATATATGTGGGGGTACATGGAGTAGTCATGGTTAAGAGTTGGGACACTGAGAATGATCCAGCCAAGGAGAATGATAAGGTAGATGTGTATTTTCTGATTCTTGGTTTTCTATTCAACTTCCTAACCCCAAAGGAGTTCATAACTGGTTAGTCTAGTTCCAGAAATCTAGATGAACTTTTTTTGATTCACTTGTATATTGCTTTTAAAAAATTCTCTTTTATTATGACCAAATATATGCAATAGATTAAAAGGCTTCAATGTCTAGAAATATATTTGGGCCAACTTCATGAAATATAGCAGATCATCAAGATAAATTTCAGAGATGGAAAAGTTTAGAAAAGAAAAAATAATAGATTGATGATACTTTTTAAAAAGTTTCTGTTTGAGAAACAAAAATGGCAACTTATTTTGAAGTTATTTTAAATGTTACTCTTTTGCACAAAAATAATCTTCCTCTTAGAGGGACTAAAGAAACAATCAGCAGTCTTGAAACTGGAAACTCCTAAATTTGCTTGGATTAACAAGTCATTCATGATGGTGATATAAAAAAAAATCATATGATGGACTATCAAAAAAGAACCATAAAGTTCTTGTCACCCAAAATACAAAGTAGATTTTTCCATTTATTGGGGGAAATTATTTGTGGTAAGAAGAAAACCAGTTTTTTCTAACATTCAGTTTAACTGACATTTTATACTACAAACAAATGAGTCATACTATCCGACATATCCATCTTGATGCTGGACTCAGTCTGAGGAAAGTTTTATTGGCATCACTGAAGTAAATCAGAAAACAGGTACAACAAACAGAATGACAAGTAAACCAAATCTCAAAAGTGCTCATATAAAAAGAGCCAAAGAACAGGGCTATGACAGTGCAGCAACTAAGTTTGACATTTAAAACAGTGTTTAGGCAGTTAATTTAATTTCATACACATTATTAACTTATTCATTGAGTTTCTGTAGGTCCACAGATGATATCCTTTGATAGACAGACTAAATAAAAAGACCTATAATTTTTTAATGGCTCATTTCACAAGCAGACTATGTTGATTTCTGTGTTGAAAACAACCTTGAAAGGGCATAGCAATTGACACACAATGATTCTTGGGAGTTAATATCTTAAATGCTTTGTAGAGACAAACTAAATTAGTAATTTCAAATGTGTAATATCAAACAATCCAAGATAGAACCTGGAAATCATTATTTCTATGACATAGTATTCAAATTAAATATTTTTATATTATTTGCACAGCTGATATTCTTAGCCATATTGACAAAATAACCAAAGCCTTGCAAAATAAAAATGTATCTATGTTTCAAGAGTAGAATGATGCACGGATCAAAAAAAAAAGATATGTGAGAAAATCCATTAAACTGCACATCAAAACACTTAGATAATGGTTTAAAGTATGGACATTTGCTCAGAGTTCTATGTTGTAGACAGAAAGTCAAACTAGTGCATTTTTATGAGTCACAGGATAAAGTATGCAGTCTTTCAGCCCAATAGTTTTATAAGGCTAAAATTTAAAAGATGCTGGATACAACTTTTTAAATGCAATCTGATTAAAGGATACAATTCAATCAAAGGTATAACAAAATGAAATTACCCACTGATTGCAAATTTGCTTCTGGAAGCAAATTTTTCTCAATGAATCCAACAGATTTATGAGCCAAGATAATGCAAGTGGCATAAATAAGATAGCAATAATTTAAATTCTACAGATATTTCATTAGAAATGGAAAGCTTTAAACATCAGGCACTAGTAATCCTCCATTTCTGGAGTCACTAACATTAGACCTACTGAAATAATACATGGATATGGACTCACTGAATCTTATACAATCCTAGAAACAGCAATGCGGATACTTTTAACCTTACCTGCAACTGTAGCATCCTGTGAGAGATCTTTCAGTTTCTCTTGCCCAAGAAAATTAATCTAATATGGCCACACTCAATAGAAAACCAAATTACAAACAAAATCAATTTAAACCAAGTAACAGTTTTGCTACAAGTAAAGCTTGGAGAGTTAAATTGTGAGAAAGAATGAAGCATATTTTTCCTATCATTATTGGAATTTTGTGTGTTCTTCATAATGTGATTTTCTTTTTAACCCAAGAAATATAAATGATATATGAGTAATGGAGCCATTCTGGTTAAATACAATTCAAAGGTATGGAAACGAGGAAGGAAATTACAGAATGTTCTCTTTTGTTACTTTTAGTACTTTTTCTCTAAAATAATTTGTTAGTTTCTATTTAGCAGTTCCAAATTATAATTTGACTTGCACTAGTACTTGTGATTTTTTTTGTTCTTGTTCAAGTTATGTTTTTATTCATTTTATGCACTCAATTTAACACTATCCATATGTAAGCACAAATTAAATGTGTAATTGATAACTGTACATTTTGTCTTAGTTGCTTTTTGTACTATTTTTACATCACAAATTACAAAGCTGATTCGAGGGCTCTCTTTTATATGTGCTGCTTGCCCTGGGCACTAAAATTCTTGCTAAGGCTCTGGCTAAATGCAGAAAGGTGAATCTATTTTACCATCCCAGCATAGAAGGCATTAGAGGATTTAGAAAAAGGGCAACTTTGGCAAAAAGGGTAGTTGGGATGGATGCTTTACATGCAATTGTTTTTACTTGCTGTCATAACACTCTTAAATATATTTTTCTTTGTAACTGTTGCTTCTTTAAATTCATGTTTTACATTGGATTTGGAATCAAGAGAGTTCCGGTTTGAATTCCACCTTTGATATTCATTAGCTGTGTGACAATGGGTTTTCATTTAACATTTTTATGCCTCACTTTCCTCATTCGAAAGTGAAAATAATAATGCCTCTAAGTATCAAATTCACAGGTTATTGGGAAGGGCTAATTTACATACAGTGCTTTGTAAACCCTGAAGTACTATGTTGTCAGTTTTAATTATAAAATTTTTGAGCTAAAACTTATTAGATCCTTAGCTCTTGAGTAGCTTAGAGAAACAAGCTGTCATTCTGAGAAGAAAATGGGTCTGGTAGTGAAAGCTGGAACAGTATCTGAGTTGTATTCAAGTTTGAGCTCTAGTAGAACTAGAACAACTTTTTCTAACTTGCCTGTGTTTAACCTTTCTGTATGGCAGCGTGAAGAAAAAGATAAAGGGCAAGGAGATGATGTGTGAAAAATGTTTTGAGCTCCCCTAAATGATAATAGCTAATATTTATAAAGTGCTTAAAGGTTTGCAAAGCTCTAAACAAAATTATCACATGCAATCCTCACAACAACCCCGTGAGGTAGATGTTAATCCTATTTTAAAGATGAAGAAAATGAAGCTCAGAGAAGTTAAAGTGATTTGCCCAAGATCATCAACAAGTATTTATTAAGCACCTACTGAGTGCCAGGAATCATGCTAAGCACTGGCTAGCAATTGCCAGAGGCAGTATTTGAACACAGGACTTCCTGACTCCAAATCTAGCACTCTTCCCCCTACATCATGCTGCATCCAGAACCAATCCTGTAATATTACTCTGACTTTCCAGGGAAAAGTAATTTCAAAAGGACAGGTCTCTCTGCCCACCTTACCGGGCCCTGAAGGCTGCTGCATCTGTGCTGTCCACCAAGACATAACTGGATTACTGTATAAAAAAGAAAAAATACAAAATGACCTTTGAGATCCCCCTTCTCTATCTTCTGTGGCTTTTCCCTTACCATCCCACCCATTATCTCAGAAACAAGACCAGGAACTCTGACGGATGTCTTCATTTCTTTTCATATTTTTAGAAAATGCATAAAATATACCTACTGCCTACAGTATCCTAATTTTTCCTTTCTGCCCCATCCCCTCAATCTAGGATTGGTCAACCCTCACAAAATAGACTAAATAAAGTCCTATTATGCTCAGCCATTTTCAGTTTCTAGGGGCAAGAGGCCCTCTTTGTTATCTGACCCTTTTATTATCCCTCTCCCCCAATTCCACCATCCGAAAAACTTCGAAATGAAGAATAATCCACAGCCACTTGACAAATAGCCAATAATCTTCTGAAGTAGTCCAACTCTACCTCAGTCCTTCTGTCTTCCCCTTTCTGTTCACAATTCTCATTAACCACTGCTTTCCTTTCCAATCTGGAGTCTCTCTGTAATTTTAAAAATAGACTCTTCCACTACAAATATTAACAAGCCTCAGAGCAATTGTTCTCAGGTCTGACAGGGTCTGAGGAATGAAATCCAGCACCTTCCAACACATGTGATCCCATCCTCGTTCATAGTCCTGTAATAATAAAAATAGCTTATATTATGCAATGCTTTATAGTTACATTTTACATCTATTATCTCATTTGATTTGTGCAATAACACCATGAGATAGAAAATACATTATTTCCATTCCACAGAACAGGAAACCTAAGCTAGTGATCAGCCCATGGACACAGAACCAGTCAGTGGCAGAACCAAAACTTGAAGCCAGGCTTACTGACCCCACTGCCTCCTTTATAAAGAAATGGTGGGTAATGTACCAATTTCTTTTGAGAAACTACTGAAATAATCAGATTGATTCGGTGTCTTTTTTTAATTGATTCTATTTATAGCTGATTGAATTTGTCCAGTAACTGCCTAAGTCATGATTCTTTGTCTCTGAACTTAGTTCAGAAATTCAGCTGGCCTGTAATGAATTAAGTTTAGAAATCCAGTTCTCTTATCAATCACTGTTCTATTCTTACGTCAAGGAAATCTGTCATCTTTGAAGAATGCAGAGGGACACCACGGAGTCTGGTCTAGTATCTTCACACCACCAGGCTAGTCTTCAAAGATGTCTGGTTAGTTATCCAAAGAAGTCTGGTCCACTATCTCTAACCTTGCAGGTAGACTCAAACGACAAACATTTCTTAGTCACAGGAGGGAAGGAGAGGGTTGTTGCTAGCCCCCATTCCCAATTTACAACCAATCATATTGTCCCCCATGCCTCAGCTCTATAACAAATCATACTGATTTTGCCATATAGAGTATAGAGTTCTTTTAACCAATCATAACCTGTTCCTCTGCCTACAAAGTTCTGATCTTTGTTCTGCTTTTCCCAAAAAACTATAAAAAGGGTAGCTATTCCCCATGTTGTGGTCTTAATCTTTTCTGAGAAACCCGAGAACCTATTTATTGGTAACTTCACACCTTATTAGTAAGTTGATTGTGCTCAGAATATGTGCCTCAGTTTACCTTATTTCGACCTTAACACTATGGGATAAAAGAAGGGAAGTTCTTAAGATACTACGGGAAACAATTTTATTTATTTAAGTCATGGTTCTTTTTTTTTTTTTTGGTGAGGCAACTGGGGTTAGGTGACTTGACCAGGGACACATAGCTAGTAAGTGTCAAATGTCTGAGGCCATGTTTGAACTCAGGTCCTCCTGATTCCAAGGCCGTAGCTCTACCCGCTTTACCACCTAGCTGCCCCCTGAAACAATTTTAATGAAGAAGATAAATAGGATTTGTTCTAGGAGACTGATGTAGATGCACAGGGATCTCACCAAATCACAGAAGATGGAAGTAAGGCCAGGCAACAAGAACAATGTAAGAGAATGACACAATCCTTTAAAAACATGGTCAGGAGTGCTAAAGTTCAAAATGCATTGGGACATTTTGTGTGCTAAGCACAACGAAGAGAGCCTTTTCATTTATATTGGGGGAAAAATAGGATCAAAGAAGGGATAGGACCTTTGAGGTATATGGGATGATTACAACTGACAACACAGAGAAGGAAGAAATGCTCAATTCTTATTTCATTTGTCTTTCTTCATAGCTATAATAACCTTTGTTGGAAATGACATCCACGTCACTGAAAATGCCTAGCAAGGAGATGATATTCAAGATTAAGTATGAAGACAATAAGAGAGCATCTAGTTTGCCCTTGATGAATTTACATCTTACCCTATACTATCCAGCACTGAAAGAACTGGCACATGTGACTATGATTCACTATAAGTAATATCTGGAAAATCATAGAAGACAGGAGAAATATCATAAGACCAGAGAAGAGCAAATGTCTAGATTGGGAAAATGTGATTACAAAAAGAAAGCAGTTTCATCAAGAATATATCATTTCCTTTTTTGACAGGCTTCCTAAACTGGCAGATGAGAGGAATGCTGTAGATACCCAGGTTTTTAACAAAGCTTTTTTTTGGGGGGGGTGCTAGGCAATGGGGTTAAGTGACTTGTCCAAGGTCACACAGCTAATATTATGTGTCTGAGGCCCGATTTGAACTCAGGTCCTCCTGAATCTAGGGCCGGTGCTCTATCTACTGCACCACCTAGCTGCCCCAACAAAGCTTTTGATAAAGTATCTCATATGATTCTTGTGGAGATGGAGAAATATAAACTAGTTGATAATATAATTGGATGAATTCAGAACTGGTTGACACAATTCAAAGAATAGTTGTTAATAGTTCAACGTCAATATGGTAGAAAGTTTCCAGTGGAGTAGTCTAAGGATCTGGCTTGGCCCTGTGCTGCTTTAATATTTTTATTAATGACACAGATAAAGGTATAAAGGACATGCTCATTAAATGTGTCATTAAATGTGCAGATGACATAAAGCTGGGAAGGATGGCTAACACAATAGATGATAGAATCAGTATCCAAAAAATCTTGACAGGCTAGAGAAAGCAGAGTGCAGTAGAACCAGATTAAAATGTAATTAGGTAATGTTTAACAAAATAAATTTAAAAAACCAATACAACAAAGATACTGCTCATTTGTGGTATTCTAAGTCAAAATGTAGCTTGCAGAACATTTCTATTTAAGTCTGACACCACTGGCCTGGAGCACTGAGTTGAATCTAAGAAAAAATATGAAGTCTTATACTTGGGGACAAAAGAATAACTTCATAAGTACAATGGGGAGGCATGGTTGAAAACACTGTGAAAAAGATTTGGGAGTTTCAGCGGACTATAGACTAAACAAGTCAGTATTGTGCTGCTTTGGCCAAAAAAACTAATACTGCTCTCTTAAGCATATCTTATCTCTGCATATATCTCTTGAGTCATATCTTCCAGGAATAAGGGAGCAAAATATATTGGGACTATCACTGTCTTCAGACTTCATCTGGAATGTTGTGATCAGGTCTAGATGCCATAGACTCAGAAGGACTATGATGAAATGAAATATCCAGATGAAACCAGGATAGTGGAAGGCCTTGAGTCTGTTATATCAGCTAACAGAATGGGGGAATTTAGTTTGGAGAAGAGAAGGCTCAAGGAGACATTTTCACAGACAAAAATTTGAAGGCCTGTGATATGCAAGACTTATTCTTTTTTTATCTAGATTTGTTCTAGATCTAGGCAGAGCAACGGGTGGAACTCCCTAACAATGAGAGCTGTCCAAGTAAACGGACTGCCTTGAGAGGTGGTAGGTTCCCCTCCTTAAAGGAATTCATGGGATGAATTCTGCTGGATTACAATAATGCTGGATGAATACTTCTCAGGTGCATCATACTAAAGATTCCTTTCAGGTATAAGTTGGACTAGATGGCTGCTGTGGTCCCTTCCAACTAAAATTCTGTGACTCTGCAGTTTCTACTACACATAAAATCTTATAGTAAGAACTCAGATATCTCTATTTGTGTTAACTACTCCAGAGATCCACTAAATCAAATAATCAGTAAATATTTGTTGAATAGTATACCAATAAAAGAAATCTCTTGACTCAAAATTATTGGACGCTTAATTCTATCTAGTTGGCTGAATTCAAATACCACATCATCTGTGAAGCCTTCCCTATGAAGGACTACTCATAGCAGTTTTACATCACTTTTAAGCACTTAAGCTTTTGTAGTACAATTGTTTAAAATGTCTTATATCCTCTATTAGTTTGGAACACTGAGTAGCAACTCTGTCTTGTTGAGCTTTGTAACCCCTTAGCACCCAGTAGGCAACTGTGAAATGTTTGCTGAATAGAGTTCAAGCCCACAAGAATAGAATGGAATAGACCATGTCCACCTAGGACAGTTAATTCCCTGTGGTATTGTTTGATCATTTTCTGGTTCCTTCCTTACAAGCTGGGCTCAGGAACTTGGCTAGTAACCAAATTTCCTCTAGATTTAAGCTAAGAGGAAAGTCACCGAAAGCAAAATGAAATTTTCTATAGCTCCTTCACTCCTCTGTCCTCAATGTCCAGTTTAGTACAAGACAGCAATTTCTACATATCAAGGCAAATAAAGCAGGGGAAAGGGGAAAGAGAAACAGACCAAATCAAGTCCTTGTTCCTGTGTAGTGTACCTGCTGGGGCTCCTTATTATGTTGTATCACTTCTTTGACTACATTCTGGATGAATATTCTCTTCTCTGGGAAAGTTGCAATTGTGTAATTATCAGCATTTCTGACCAAATACCATTGTAACTACATCACCTTTGCTCCAATGAAGACCAAAGCCATTTCACTCATGCCGTTCTTTTCTGACATGTTTTCATATTGTGTCCATAGACATGTGCTTACACAATATCTCTGTCAGAACACTAGTAATATATAAGGCTGAGCACAGACTTTACATTTCTTTCAACAAATTGGAAAATGTGGAATAGGAGAGAGAAAGATGCTAATTAGAAACTGAAGCCAGTAGGATGTCCAGGTTCTGCTGATGGATAAAGCTTGTTCAGATTAATTCAATGGGTGGATGACGGGCACACAATTTTGTTGGGGGTGCTTCTGTACCAGTTAACTGAAAACCTTGAAATTTTACCTCTCTGCATAGCTGAACCAAACTCTTTTGTATTTGGAAGGAATCACTGTGCACTGGGAGTGTCAGAAGATGACACAAGTATCCAAAAATTTTAAATAAATATGCTTTTTAAAGACTTCTTTTAGCTGCTAAAATTTTATGTAAATTTCTAAACCAAAAAGTTATACCCTTCCTCCTTGAGCTGCAGCTCTTTCCTTGAAATGGTCTTACAAAAAACCCTAGTTTTTTCTGTTTGATAAAAAATTTGATGGACAAATCCCCAGGGTTTTTATAGAAATGGCTTATTTCCAAAGTATTTAATATCTCTTAGGCAAATGCTATAATTACATTACATACTAATCAGCAAAGAGTACAGAAATGCCAATTTTTCTATCAATTGGGCAAAACCCAACACAATATTCCAGGCTCCCCCCAAATCAAACTTTAATAGTTCCTCTTCCTGGGCCAGTAACTGTAAGAAGAGGGTGGGGGTAGGAGGAGAGAACCAATTTTTCAGACCGGTTTTTCCACCTACCTCCATACCTTTAGAAAGTAAGGCCCTTGCGGGCAGGAGCTATCTTTCTTTGTGCTTGTATTTATTTGTACTTCCAGTTCTTACCACAGGGCCTGGCACATACTAGGCGTTTAACAAAAGCTCATTTCTAGACTGCCTTCCCCGCCCTTAGTCATTGCATAACCAGCCTTTCTACGCAGGCATCTCCTTTCCCTTGTTTTTCCTGTGACTGAGAAGTGGATGGCCTTGGAGTCTGGAAGACCTGGGCTCAAGTCCTGCCTCTGATATATTCAAGACCGAGGGCAAAACGTTCCGTGTCACTAAAGCTGGAGTCACCGCTCGGTTCCGCCACGGCGGGCTGGGCTGGCGGTTGGGCGGAGGGGGGGAGGGGGAGAGGCTCCACATGGATGGATGGACCCATGGACATGGAAACACGCACACGTGTCTCCGCCGCCTTCCTTGGCCGCCCTGCTCCCCCCATCTCGGGCCCGGCGGGGGGCTCCATCTAACCTCCGGGGAGGGCCTCGCTGGCCCCACACACACCCCCACCGCGTCTCGCGCCTGCCCTCCAGAGGCCCGACCCGGCCCGCCGCGGCTCGACCCCCGCCCTCAGCGGCCCAGCAGCCAGGCCGCCGGACAGCTGGAGGAAGGGAGGGAGGGGCCGATAGGGCGGGCGGCGGGTCAGCCAACGGCCAGTAACGGCCGCGAGCCCGCTCGGCCCCGGCCCCGCCTTCCGGGGGGGGCGGAGGCTGGGAAGCAGGGCGACCGAGGGCGGGTTCATGAGTTCCCTCAACGGCCGTAACGGCGGCGAGCCCAGGCCGGCGGGCACGCGCGGCGCCCGCGCCCCTCCTCCCGCCACCCACAGGAGGAAGGGGAAAGGGGAAGGGCGGGGCCGAGGAGGGGCGGGGAGGCTCCCTCACTATCCCCTCCGAGAAAGGCGGCGCGGGCGGCGGCGGCGGCGAGCACGCCTGGCCGTCGCGGGTCCGCCCAGCGCCCGCTCGGGCCCGCCCGCCCACCTACCTTGCGGCGTCCTCGTAAGAGAGCGGGATTGGGGGAGTCGGACGGAGCGCGGCGTCGCTCTTTGGTGACGTCAGAGCCACCGCGTCGCGTCGCGCACAGGTGACGCGGCTCTCGGGCCCGTTGTCTGGGCGTCTGAGAGTGGGGGCCCGGTGCCGGCCGGGCTTCCTTGAGTGCGGGGCTCTCAGGGGCGGCGGCGGAGCTTGGACATGGCGCTGAGAGGCCGTTCCAGGGGAAGATGAATAAAGGCTGGTTGGAGCTGGAGAGCGACCCAGGTGAGGGGCAAGAAAGGGGGGGCGGGGCCGGACTGGGGGAGGGGGAGGAAAGGTTGGCAGGGAGGACCCGGAGTCGGGGTGGGGGAAGGGGGCCTGGGGGAGGGCGTAAATAAATAAGGGCCGTTCTTGCTTACTCTGAGATAACCGGGGCAGATCGGAGCTGTGGCGGGCGCTGGGGCCGGCGGGGCGAGGGCCGGGGCTCGTGGGATCCTGTTGGCTGGGCGCGTTGTGGAATGACTGAGGGGACTTCCGAGGTCATGGCAGGAGGCAGTGGGGTGCAGCAGGAAGGGTGCTGGACTTTGAGTCCTAGGATCGGGATTCAGATCCCGGCTCAAGTCATTCAGCCTCTCTGGGCCTCAGTTTCCACTGTAAAATGAGCTGTAAAATGAGCAAAGCGCCTTCCAGCTCCGATCACAGGTTCAACTTGAATGTGTGCAGGAAACACTTGTGCAGAGACCCCAACAAGCGGTTATTAGACTTTTGAAGAACTTCTCCTGCATTCTACTTTTGGATAACTCCAGAATTGTTAGGAGCTCTTTGGTCAAGCTGCAGCTTGCCTCTCAGCAAGTTATATCCGTTGTTCCTATTTATATAAGGCCTATCATGCCCCCCTTAAGCTTTCTTCCTCTGCCTGCGCTTGTCAACATCCCTGCCTAAACCGTGGTGGCCAGGCCTGTACAGTACTTCAGATGTAGACTTGACTAGTACCATGGGGCCGTGGATTCTGGACCGCCTGGGATCACGTTAGCTGGTTTTAGTTCCCATATCACATTGTTGACTTCTGTTTGGAGGAGAAGAATCCCAAGGTTGAAGCAGAATACAGGAATACTGGGCCAGGAGATGTAGGCTTTCAGCATGGGTAGGGTACGTAGTTTCCAGTTAAATGACAAAGATCTTGGTTAGGTCTTTAGGTGGCAAGAAAACCAGCAGTATGGTGATTTTTGCTCATTATGCATAGTACAAGGATATTTTTGATTTGGATATCAGTTCTCAGAGAAGATAGATGTGGGATTCAGCCACTGGTGTTAAGAGAAGTTAGGGGTATATGAATAGCAGAAGGTAAATAGTAATAATAAATAATAATAGTGATAGTGATAGCTATCATTTACATAACACCTGCTGTGTTCCAGGCACTGTGCTAAATGCTTTGCAAATATTATCTCATTTGATCTTCACAGCAACCCTTCGAGGGTTTACATTTTACAGTTGAGGAAACTGAAGCAAACAAAGCTTAAGTATGCCCAAGGTCACACAACTGGTATCTCAGGCCAGATTTGAACTCCTGCCTTCCTAAGTTCTGGGCTTAAGGAAAGGAGTTATGGGGGTGGGTGGGTGGTGCTTTATCCACTATAAAAAGAAGACATGGGAAACATCACAGAGACCTGTAGCTGGAGGGAACGAGGGTCATGACTCTCTCTCTTCCTTCTTTTACTAATAGTTCTCTAGCCTAGTCACACAATTTTGATCATAAAATGACGGCTTTTCTTTTCTTTCTCCCTCTACTGTCTCCTTCCTTTTCCAATCCTTTCCAACTCAGGCCTTTTCACCCTGTTGGTAGAAGATTTTGGTAAGTATGAAACTTCCACTAAGATGAGGCAGTTCTTATAATGTTTTTGCCCCTGGTCTACAAGTAACTCCTTTTTTTCCTCCTTTGATTCTGATCTCTCCTTCATATGATCAATCATCAGATCTTGTCAGTTCTACCTCTGCAAAATCTCTTATGCCCATCCCCTTTTTCACTTATACTATAACTAACTTAGATGAGAAGAATCTTGTTAACTGTCATGTAGACTATTGTAATAGACTTCTAGATGGTTTTCATGCTTCCATTCCATTCTGTCTTCTTTCCAGGCCATCCCTCACATCACTGCTTTAGTAATCTCCTCCCTAATTTTCTGTTCTGACTGTGTCATTTCTCTATTCCTAAACTGTCAGTGGCTCCCCTTTGTCTTGCACATAAATGAAAAACTGCTTATCCTGGCATTCAAGGCCTGCCTCAAACTAGGCTTTTCAAGCATTTTTGCATATAATCACCTTCATATATACTCTTTCAACAACATGCACTTCTGTGCTCTTTTCTCCTGTTTTTGGTGCCTTTGCTATCCCCCATGCCTGGGAAAGATCTCTCTAAAGTCAAAACTTTCTCAGGTCTTCCATGAAGCTTAGCCTTTCCCCAGCTCCCTCCCATGTACTTTAAAAGAATCTTGCCCTCTTCATATGTCAGCATTCTACTTAGAGCTATCCTTTTCACCAGTTATTTGTATATATGTTTCCCTCTCTGTGCCCCCATTACCCCATTATATGGTAAACTCTGTGTTAGTGGATTACTGTATCTAGCTCTGTATCTCTAGCATTGAACACAGAAGTTGCATAATAAATGTTTGTGGCATTCTCTAGGTGTTAAAGGGGTACAAGTTGAGGAGATTTATGATCTTCAGAGCAAATGCCAAGGGTAAGTGACTTCTCTGTTAAACTCTGTCACTGGCCTAAGATAATTTGAGAAAGTGTCTCTTAAGTCAGTTCTTTTGATTATATCTCATTGACCAGATTTTGAAAGCTCTAGGATCCTTTGGTAGGGGACTTCTCAGGGGGGCCCAGTCTTGAGTGGCTGGCTTCCCTCACAGTGCTAAGTGTTTTATTGTCTGAGATGCTAAGGCTTTGCCTGGGTGCCACTTTTTTGGCCCTAGAACAGAAACCCTTGTAATAATAGGAGTTAACTCCTATAATATCAGAAAATGGGTCATGGTAGCAATGCTAAAAGTCTCTCCCTAGGGAAAAAAGGGCTTGGTTAGAGTGAGGACTTTTTTTAATTTATTTTGAGATGTTGTGCTAGAGTCTAGTGATAGAAGAGGTACTGGTTTAACTTCCCGTTGGAACAGAACTTTTATGCATTTCTGTCTTTGCTTTTATCCTGAGGCTTTCACTCTTCCAAGGTGGTCCTCTGGTCAATGAATTACTTTTCCATTTTTTTGATAGCATAGAATTATGATATTCTGATTGGGAAAAGGGGCGGGTGCCTTCCTTGTGATTCTAAGGTTAAAGACAGAACAGGCTGTGGCGTATCTCTTGGGAGTACATATACTTAGTGCTGCCGTAAGCTGAGTTGGTGGTCTTCACAATAGGTTAGCACAGAGTACCAGCTTTGGAGTCTTTCTCCTTTGCTTGAGTGGTAAAGCAGTTTAAGGGGAATAAGAAGAAAAGAAAAATGGTAGAAATGGGAGCCTTGTCTTTCAGCCTGGTCAAACATACTTGATAGCTCCTTTTCTCTCTTCCTCCAGGCCAGTATATGGCTTCATCTTCCTCTTCAAATGGATCGAAGAACGCCGATCCCGACGCAAGGTCTCTACCCTGGTGGACGAGACTTCTGTGATCGATGATGACATTGTGAATAACATGTTCTTCGCCCATCAGGTTATTTGGTTTTCTGTGCTCTGAGGGAGGAGTTTTTGTGCTCAAAGGCCACAGGATAGTTTAGCACTGGGGAGTTATTAGTGCTTCTACTTTAAGAGAAAATAAATAAAATCCAGGAGTTATCATTATGTAAACACTCTGACCAAGAGGATTTCTCCTCTTCTTGATTGGGGCAAGGGAGGGGATGGTCCCTCTGCCCGAGATTCAAGGAGTTCTGAGTAGATCAGTTGACCAGATCACACACTACCTTTTTCTGTATGCCACATTTATCAGTAATGCTACATTGGTATATATTTGGGGGAGGTTGGAACAAGATATATACCACAAATAAAAGTGCCTGTTCTTGGTTCTGCAGCTGATTCCCAACTCCTGTGCCACTCATGCCTTACTGAGTGTCCTTCTGAACTGTAGCAATGTGGACCTGGGCCCAACACTGAGCCGCATGAAGGATTTCACCACGGGCTTCAGCCCAGAGGTATGTTGAGGGCCATGGTTACCTGACAGAGGCTGCTGTGCCCATTCTTTAAGAGCTAAATTGACCTGTAGGTAGTTCCCAGCCAGGGCTTGGGCATCAGCCATGGGTTACTTCTCTGCTGTTCTCTGAAGAGAGTGAAGTTACTTCATATCAGGAATGGTTATGGTGATTTTAACTTTTTGCATTATTTGGTCCTGTCACTTCATTGATTCCCCAGGCAGCCTTGTGAATTGAGTAGAGCACATGGTGGCCATGCCCATATCATAGACAAGAGGTTAAGCGTTGCTTGCCTAAAGCCACATAACAAGTAAGGTGCTTGTTGTGATTGAGGTCTTCTGACTGTAGCCGCCAGTGGGTTTGTCACTCTTGCCTTGATCTGTATTAAATTATTAGTATCTCTACATCTTTTTCACATAGAGGCTATGACATGAGATTATTTCCTCTCTTTCTAGAGCAAGGGATATGCCATTGGGAATGCTCCAGAGCTGGCCAAAGCACATAACAGCCATGCCAGGTATGTGTAATGGGATGAGGGACAAAATAGTCATTAGGAGGGGAAGGAGTCTCCTTAATCAACCTTCTGAACTCATGTCGTCTGCAGGCCTGAGCCACGACATCTGCCAGAGAAGCAGAATGGGATCAGCGCTGTGCGGACGATGGAAGCATTCCACTTTGTCAGCTATGTCCCCATTAAGGGACGTCTCTTTGAGCTAGACGGACTGAAGGTGTACCCCATTGACCATGGTAGGATTCATGCTTTGAGTTCCATGGGACAAAGGGATCTAGGTGCTGATATTTCTTGCTGGGGTTAGACGACCTGAGTGGCTTTCCTCGATTTTTGACCACAATAATTTTGTCAGGCTTTTGGTTTCAATTTCATTTCTCATTTATTCTAAATTCTAGGATTGGTAATATGATTGTTAGACATTTAGTAGTAAAGTTATTCAGTTGAGCAGAGAATAATATACACTTCTCCAAAAATAGTTAACCACATTGTTAGAAGTACAGTTTTTGATGGTAAATCAGCCAAATATACTTGCAGAGCTACTTATCGTGTGACAGGTTGGCTTATGAGAATGTCTGAATTTTGACCATAGGCATTCTTCATTAGCAGTGCCCAGATGCTCCCTCCAGCCCACTTGGCCTCTGTCTTTACTACTTTCCAACATTCCCAGCCTTGGGTTTTTTTTCCTCCCTTCCTTATTCTTCCCAGGGCCTTGGGGGGAAGATGAAGAGTGGACAGATAAAGCCCGCCGAGTCATCATGGAACGGATTGGCCTAGCCACAGCAGGGTAACTGCTCCGACTGTGGGTGGGCATAGCACTGGGAAGTTTGAGGGCAGCTTTGCTCCTTAGCACACTTGGGTGGGCTTCCTTGATGTCTCCAGCCTTTCTCTTCCCCATGGATAATTATGGAATTCTAAAGGAATGGGTAAGAGTGTAAAAAACCCCACTGTGGTGATAAGCTGGCTTGCTTTTTTGCCTCATCTCAAGGTATAATGTATGTTAATTGTTGGCTGATCCTAAGACACTGTTGTTAAAGTTTCTGTCCTGGAGCAGTTTGCATTGGTCATCTGGCTGGGGAAGGGGGCACAGAGGGTGGGGTGGCTGCAGAAGACCTGAAGCTCAGGTGGCCGGTGGGTGTGACCACAGGGAGCCATATCATGACATCCGATTTAACCTGATGGCGGTAGTGCCCGACCGCAGGATCAAGTATGAATCTAAGCTGCACGTCCTGAAGATGAACCGACAGACGGTGTTGGAGGCCTTACAGCAGGTAGGGAAGGCCACACTCCAAACTATTCCTGTTGTTGGGAGTAGACTGAATCAACCCCTGATGTTTGTCTTGTTTCTTGGTACTTTTAATTCCTCCCTATTCTCTTATGAGCCACACTTGGACATCTTTCTGTTCATTCTGTTTTCATGTCCTCTTTTTACGCATGTGTTCTTTCTCTTCTGATTTAACAGTTTTCTTTTTTCAAGCAGCTTGATTATTTGGGGGCTAAAGTAATTGGTGGATTTTCCATGCTTTTATCTCTATCCTTTTTGTTCTTCACTTAGCCTTGGATGTTTCCTTACTCCTTTCTGACTCCCTGGAGAGTGGGAAAGATTTAAGTTGGGATGAGGACTGGCTGCTAAAATGAAGTCATTAGTCTTTCCATTTCATGGTGTCATGATTAGGTAACCGCTGGCTGTGTTGCACCCCTAGGGCCTACTCAGCAGGAACAGTGAAAGGGCACAATCCACTGAGTCTGTGTCCCTGTGAGTATAGGGTTCTGCTAGTCCCATTGCTCAGTGCCCTCCTTATTCTGGTTTCAGCTGATCCGAGTGACTCAGCCAGAATTGATTCAACCCCAGAAGTCCCAAGAGTCTCAGCCTCCTGAGGACTCCAAGCCGGCCTCCTGCAAGCCCTCTCTGGTGCTTGAAACAAGCAAGACCCCACTGGCCTCTGAGGGTTCCCAAACAGGTATGAGATGCCTGAGTGACAGGACCCCAGGAGGCCTGAACATAGCTTGACTCCTTTTTTGGGGGAGGGGATTCAGTTAGATTGGACTTGGCGTGGCATTAACTGCTTCAACGTTGGTGTAGAATAAGGATTCTTAACCTTTTTGATGTTACAGACCCCTTGGGCAGTCTAGTGAAGCCTATGGGCCCCTTCTCAAAGTAATGTTTTTAAATGCTTAAAATATAATACATAATATTATAAAGGAAACCAATTACATGCAGTTATCAGAGCATTAAAAAAAACCAAAACAAAGTTCATGAACCCCAGGTTAAGGAACCTTGTGTAGAGGGATTTAGGTGCTCTGATGGAAAGGCAACATGGTAGCATGGAAAAGGAATACAGGATTTGGAGTCAGAGGACCTGGGTTCAAAAGCTGCTTCAGACACTTAGTAATTGTGTGGCCCTGGGCATTTAAATTTCTCTGGGCCTCAAGTTTCCTTATCTGTAAAATGAAGGAGTTGGATTCAGTGGCCTCCAAGGTACCTTCCAGTTCTAAATTTGAGCCAGTGACTTAGAAGCATACAGCACATTGAATACCTGCTGTAGGTCCTAGAGAAAAAAGCCTTGGGCTAGCCTCCTGGGTCCCTACAGCCTTTCCCTTCCCTATGGAAAATTGTGGAATTCTAGAACATTGGGGGACCACCTGCATTCTTGGTTTAGAATCTTCTAGAAATGAGTGACCAATATAAAAGAATGCGATAGACAAGTACTTAGCAGCCTATAGCACGCTTATTCCTCTGTGTCCCTCACACCACATAAATTTCCTCCTTTCTTTGTTCCTTTAGTTTTCTCCTTTTTCCCTTCTCCTGTTCTCTTTTCCTTATTTCCATTTTATTCTGACTTGTCTGAGACATCTAGGAATTTCTGAGAGGCATAGAGATTGCTGTCCTTTTTTGAAGGATGGTTGTGGTAGCTAGGTCCAAACGATGGGAGGAAATAACAAGCTAATTGCATTAGGAAGAGTTAGAAGGGAAGAGGGAGCAAGTACCTGCTTCTTTTTTTATTTAATTCTTAAGAAATTTTTATTTAAAAAATTTAAAAATATTACCCTACCTTCTCCCTCCGAGAGAACCATCATATATAATAAATAGGTTGCTTTTTTAGACAAAAAAAGAGGGGAAAACATCAGCATAACTGATCAGTACATCAGAAAGTCTAAAAATATATTCACTCTGTAGCCCTTGTGGACCCTCCCCCCTCTGCATGGGGGAGGGCTGGGAGTGTCTGTTCAGAGCTCTTCTTTCAAGTCATGCTTGTTCTTTATAATTTTGCATCATTCACTTTTGATTTTTTGGTGTGTCGTGGTCCTTTCCATTTCCATTGTTGTAATCATTGTGCATATTGTTTTGTTGCCTCTGCTTACTTCACCAGCACGTGTAGCTCTTTCCTTATTTCTCTGTATTCGTCACATTCATCATTTCTATAACACGGTAATTTTCTGTTCCATTTATGTACCACAGTTTGCTTAGCCATTCCTTAATCAGTGGGCATCTACTTTATTTCCAGTTCTTTGTTATCACAAAAAATTCTGCTATAAGTATTTTGGTGTATAGGGAGACTTTCTTAAAAATGGCCTCCTTGGGACATAAGCCCAATAATAGAATGTCTGGATCAGAGGGTATGGACATCTTAGCAATTGTATTTGTATGATTCCAGATTGCTTTCCAAGATGGCTATATACTGATTCACAGCTCTACCAACAATGCACCATAGTATCTTTCTTCCCAAAGCCGCTCCAACATTGACTATTCCCATTTTTTGTCATCTTTGCCAGTTTACAGGATGTGAAGTAAAACGTTGGGATTGTTTTGATTTGAATTTCTCTTATTATTAGTAATTTGGAGTGTTCTTTCATGTGGGTTGTATATAATTTGTAGTTCTTTTGAAAATGGTTTGTGTCCTTTGACCACTTATCTATTGGGGAATGGATTTTGGTCATATATGTCTATGAGTTGTTTATGTATCTTGAATACTAAACCCGTATCAGAGGAATTTGATACAAAGGTTTTTTCCCCCACTTCCTGTCTTCCCATAAGCGCATTGATGTTGCCTATGCAGAAGCTTTTCAGTTTCATGTAATCAAAATTAACTCTTTTATCTTTTGTAATTGCCTCTGTCTCATTTGCTTAAGAATACATCTCCTACTTCTGTCTGTGAGAGGTATATGATCTACTGTTCTTAACACTAAGGTCATGTATCCCTTTAGAATGTACAGTGGAATATGGTATAAGGTGTTTGTTTAAGCCTAATTTCTGACACACTGTTTTCCAGTTTTCCAGCAGTTTTTATCAATTAAGAAGCGCTTTGCTAAGTAGTTTATGATTTCTACTTTATCAAACACTGGGTTACTAAGTTCCATTGTGTGTGATTCTCCCTTACCTAGTCTTTATCTAGTCTTTTTCTAATCTTTTTCTGCCTCTATTTTTTAACCAGTACTAGGGAGTTTTATTGACTGCTGCTTTATAACATAGTTTGAGGTCTGGAAGTATTGTTCCCCCTTTCTTCCTACCAGCACTTCCCTTACCTGGTTCTAAAGACATCATTCATATTTTTTTTCCTTCCTTTAAGATGGACCTGAAGAGGTGGCAGGACCTTGCCAGCCAGCCCCCACACATAGCCCACCCAGCAAACCCAAGCTCATGGTGAAACCTCCAGTCAACAGCCTCAATGGGGTTCCAGCAAATCCCAGTCCCATTGTTCAGCGGCTCCCAGCTTTCCTGGATAACCACAACTATGCCAAGTCTCCCATGCAAGTAAGCGCCTAGGGATGAACAGGTATCCTTTTCTAGTCCAACACTTATTGCCACAGATGTCCTTGGTACTGATTATAAAGTACTTTGAGCAGGTGATTCCTCACTAATCCTGGGATTTGGTAGCTATTTGAGAGTATCTTGTCTTCCTGTTTTTGGTCATAGATTTTTTCTTAGCCTGGTGTTGAGTCTTCTGGCCACTACAGAACCTCAGGAGTTCAGGAGAACTTCAGGAAATCCAAGTCTTCCCTAATTCCTAATCATTTGGTTAGTTCTAGAATTGTAACCTTAAGAATATGGGATATAATCGTGATTAGGCCTTAAATGCCAAAGCAGTGTCTTTGGATATTCTGTTTCCTGAGAAAGGCTGTGTGGGACAGAACTCACACCAGAGGAGCATCTGCCCCTGGCATGTTCTAGGAATGGGAAAGGAGCAGCATATGTGGCCTGTCTTTGAAGCCATCCGTCTCCTAGCTTGGCTTTGCCAACCCTTTCAACTGATCCTGGGATTGTATTCTGCAGGAAGAAGAGGACCTAGCAGCAGGCGTAGGCCGCAGCCGGGTCCCAGTACGCCCACCACAGCAGTACTCAGATGATGAGGATGACTATGATGATGATGAGGAAGAGGATGTTCGGAACACAAATTCTGCTATCAGGTAGCTGCTTTTGCCCAAGGGCCTGGAATACTGAAAACCCCTGCCCTTTTCTTTCTGTCTGTAATTGACCAGTTTTCTGGAGAGAATGTGGGGTTGCCAAGTATCCCCCTGAGGATGGGGTATTTGGAGAGCAGCCATTCCATACTATGTAACCTTGGGATCCACATGTCCTATGTGTGCCAAGGGGAAAGGTGTAAAGAGGTCAGCTGTTCTTCCTTCCTTGAATACACGAAGGACATGTGATTGCAGATCACAACTCATCTTGTGACTCAGGAGAGACTACATAGGGAGCTCTCTGAGACCTGTAGAGGCCATGCAGTGTCAGAGCTCTTGATTACAAGCTCAGTACCCAATCTACTCTAGTATGCTTCCTCTTCTACCTTAAAAGCTGTTAATTTACTACTTGGAATTTGGGGAGGGTCTTTCTAGAGACTGCCAGTCAGTCAGCTAAGTGGACAGATGACTTGGGAAGTGCTTCTAGGAGATAGGTTTACTCCTCTCCCTAGGCTCACTTTCCATCTCTGGGCCTGAATAGGTACAAGCGGAAAGGACAGGTCAAGCAGGAGCCCTTGGCTCCCTCCTCCGATGGGCAGCTCTGCGTCCTGCAGCCCAACACCATCAATGTATTGGCTGAGAAGCTCAAGGAATCCCAGAAGGACCTCTCAATCCCTTTGTCCATCAAGACCAGTGGTGGTGCTGGGAGCCCAGCTGTGGCCGTGCCCTCTCATTCTCAGCCTTCACCCACCCCCAGCAATGAGAGCACCGACACAGCTTCTGAGATTGGGAGTGCTTTCAACTCACCACTCCGGTCACCCATCCGTTCTGCCAACCCCACCCGCCCATCCAGCCCTGTCACCTCCCACATCTCCAAGGTGCTTTTCGGGGAGGACGATGGGTTGTTGCGAGTGGACTGTATGCGCTACAACCGGGCTGTGCGAGACTTGGGGCCTGTCATCAGCACCGGCCTTCTACACCTCTCTGAGGATGGGGTGCTGTGCCCTCTCACCATCGCAGGTGAGGGAAGGGTTGGGAGATGGGGCCAATGGAAGCTAGACCTAATCAGTCAGTCAGTAGACTGCTTGGGAGGACTGCAGTCCTTGACACCTGGGAAATTTGCCCTGCTTTTAGCTATTTCTCATGTGTGTGTTCCTCTTAGAAGGTGGGAAAGGCTCATCACCACCTGTCAGACAGAGCCAGACTGCCCAGATCAGTGTCACCCTGGAGGAGAAGGAGGCGCCTGAGGCAAGTGACAGAGAGAAAGCCGGGCTGAGCCGCCCCCCTGAGCAGCTGTGTGGGGAGAAGTATTCCCCCAAAGTGAGTGTCCAGTTGGGTCCTCCTTCCCTTTGCCTGAAGTTGTGGGAACCTTTCTCGGGGCCAGGCGAGTTTGCTATTTCCCGTTCTCTCCTGGTGCTGCTGGTGCCGGCAATGGCCATGCCTGAAATGGGTGGCAGGAGGTGGGATCAGGAGCCTTGCGCCTTGTACTATGCCCTTCCTGGGGGTTCCCTTCCTGTCCCTGGGCAGCCACTTCACCAGAGCACTTGGTCTTGCCAGGAGCTGCTGGCACTGCTGAAGTGTGTGGAAGCTGAGATCGCAAACTATGAAGCCTGTCTCAAGGAGGAGGTGGAGAAGAGGAAAAAATTTAAGGTGAGCTGTTGGCACTGCACTTGTGGGATGACTTCTGATGCTGTGAGTTTGCTTGCTAATCATCCTCCTCTTCTATTTTCCCTCACAGATTGATGACCAGAGAAGAACCCACAACTATGATGAGTTTATCTGCACATTTATTTCCATGCTGGCTCAGGAAGGTGAGGTGGGAATGCCAACCCCTGGCAGAGGGGATGGGAGGTGTGGTGGGGGAGTTATTATTGGGAGATGCCATTTGGAATGGAAATGAAGCCTCTTCTCTCAGGTCGAGGGACCTATGCCCCTGAAATCAGGTCTGCATCCTAACAAATATGATTTTGGTGTTATTCTAAAGTTTGTGCAGATTGTAGGGATCACAGGGTGGGCCTGTTTTCTGGCCCCAGCTCTTGGGGTCCCTGTCCTGCATGGGCTTGAGAATCTCCTGGGACAGCTGACGTCCTACATTAACACTTGTAGGTGGGTCAGTGCTGTCAAACTCTCCATGAGGATCCCTGCAAGTGCATGTTGACTTAGTTTTAAAATGTAACATTATGTATGTTGTATTTTTATTTATTTTGTTCACTATTTGCCAATTACATTTTAATCTGGTTTGGGCCACACTAAGGAGTGTTGTGGGCCATCATGTGTAGGTGGACTGCGTGGTGGGAGCTCAGGATTGCCTGGCTGGCCGCAGGCTGCCCACTCAGGCTTGTGCCCTCTCCTAGGCATGCTGGCCAACCTTGTGGAGCAGAACATCTCCGTTCGACGACGACAGGGTGTCAGCATTGGTCGGCTGCACAAACAGAGGAAGCCTGACAGACGGAAACGCTCCCGTCCTTACAAGGCCAAGCGGCAATGAGGGACTTCCTGGCCCAGGACTGGGCCTTCCACATGCTCCCCTAATCATAGGGCGTTCTGAGGGCGAGGCAGCCATGAGCTGCCCCCACTTAACTCTCCTCCCCTTGGACCCAGTATTACTGTACAGTTTAAAGTGGGAACATCGTTCCCCAGTGGACAGGCAAAGGTTCCCATGTGTCAGTCGCACTACAGACCTCCCGCTGACCCTTTAGAAATAAGGGGGACTTCTTGGTCACATGGCTCTCAGCCTCCTCTCAGCCCCTCCCCTGTTGACCTGGGGATACTGAAGTCAGTGGGGGCTACCTGCCTGCAGCTTAAGTTCCCTTTCAAGGGTGGGCACTGGGCAGGTCAGCCAGAGATTGCCGTAAAGTCAGTGCAGGGACCACTCAGGAAGCAGCAGCTGGAGTCAGTGTAGTGGGAACTCTACCCGTGGGAACACTGCCTTTTCCCCCCTTTGTCATCTGAGCCCACCCACAGCTGGCTGTGGATCATCCGCCCCAAGGGGTACATGGACCCCATTGACAGCCAGGGCCCTGGCTCCCTGCCTCAGTGACAGCAGAATATATATTTTATATATCAGAAATGTCTATTTTTTTCTTGGTTCTGACTAATCTTGCCACCATTGTATTGAATACCACTGCCTCCTACACAGCAGCCTTCTGGACATAGCCTTGTCCAGACCTGGCTCTCCATCCCTTCCCCTGGCTTCTTCCTCATCCGTTTTCGTATGTGTGTGTTCTCCCTTAGACCCTGCCCTGGGGAGCTGGAAGGCAGAGCTGGGACTTCAGGGTCACAACCACTTACCTCCTGGGTGTGTGACCAGGGCCAGAGGTGCTCTTGCCCGGGTTCCCCATCCACCCCAGTCTCTGAGCCCAGCCCAGCACCACACAAACACTCCCAGTGAGAGCCCCCAGCTGTCTCCTGGAGAGGTTGGGCTTGCACTTTTGCACATCTGCTGTTTGAACTCCAAACTCAGGAATCAGGGCTTGCTCAGGATCAGTATGAGGAGTAGGGCAAGTAGGGAGCAGCAGGACTCTCTGGGTCCATGGGAACACATAGAGAAGCTTTGTTATCGAATTTGGCTGAGCAGCTATGTGGCCTACAGAGTGGTTTTTTTTAAAGTCCTAGCAGAGTGGAGATGTTTGTTTTTAGATTTCTTTTGATTCCTGTAAATTGTTCTTCCTTCCCTGGCATGGCCTGAAGAGGGAGCAGATAAGGGGGTAAGAGGGCAGGTGCTGGGGTTTCTTGGACCTAGCTTTGTTCTGTAAAGGCCCTGGAGCCTGGGGCTGCGTGCAGCTGGCTTTGGTTGGACAGCTCTGAAGGGCAGAGAGGTGTTGCTCCAGAAACAAATGATGCTGAGGTGCCCCAAAGCCTTTTGGGAGGATGTTTGTTTTCAAAGTGTTTGGTGGCTTTCCTAGCCTCGAGCTTGCTCTAATAGGATTGTGTGTGCAGGGGGGGTGTTAGAGTGAGTGGGGACCTGCACTGGTTTTGGTGGAGATTCTGAGCCAGGTGTACCACGCCCACTGGTATTACGGAGATGCCTTCCCTCAGCTGAGCATGCAGGGAGGGTAGGTGTAGCTCTCCCAGGAGCAACCCCCCCTTTCCCACCCCATTCTCTGAACTGTATGTAGGAATGTGCATCTGCTGCCTGGCTCCAGGATCTAGAGTGAAGTTAGTTGGTGCCTGTCAGATTTTTGTGCTGCTGAGAGAGAAGGGATTGGGGAACTTTGCATCAGGGTTATTCCTCTTTCCGTCCAGAGCTTAGGACCTGGCATAGGAGTGTAAAGTAGGGAAGGGCTGGCCTCCTGCCTGAGATGCTTCCATTTTGTGGGCATTTTCCACTTGGGCTTAAGCCATCCAAGAGGACTTAGAGGCAGAATTCTGTCAGACCATTTGCGGACCAGTCTCTGCCCTTTCCGCACACTCCAGAGTTTCTGTTTGCTTCCTCTTTGTGACCATAAGGTAGCTGTCGCTACCCTTACCTTGCCCCTTCCCACCCCTGCCCCTTGCCTTTTCCCTCCCTAAGGGCCCCTGGGAGAAAGCGGAGATCCCCTTCTTTATATACCACAATTGCTGTTGAAGCTGTGGTGGGGGCAGATGAATTTGTTCTCCTTCTGCTTGCACTGAATTTCAGAAGAGACAGGAATCAACTTGAAGTAAAATGTAGGTGTCTTGGGGAAGGCTGAACTGAAGCTATTGTACATAAGAGACCTGGACAGGCTGGGGCTCGGGCCACTTCTGGCCCTTTGCCTGTGTATCCTTGTAAATACCAGACTTGCCTGAATGAATAAAGTTTTCCTGTAACTTATGTGCTCTGTGTTGGCTGGCTAGATGTTTTCTGAATAAAGAACCGTGTAGTGTGCTGTGCAAGCATTTTCTGTGCTCTGGGCACTATCTGTGGCACCAGGACTCAGGCAGCATATATGCATTGGCATAAACTCGGACTGCAATTTGGGGGATCTGGGTCCTCTTTTTGGCTCTACCACTGATTTGTTGTGTTGGGCAAGTCTCATCATCTCTGGGCCTCCACTTCCTTTTTCTGGTAAGATGAGGTCCTTTCCAGTTCTAGCATTTTAAGGGTTCCATTTGGAAAAAGTCTTGGTGCCAGTGTGCCCTGTTCTACATTGTAAAGCTATTAGCTTTGCTCCCTCTGACCTCTCTTACTTCCTGCAGACTAACATGCTAGGTAGAAGACTTCTAACAATATACCCAGGGGAAGGGGCCAGCAGTGGTCCAGAGCTGTTGGTAAGGGTTGGCTCAAGAGGGACTGGCCCCCACTCTGTAACCTCTGTTCTGACTGGCAAAGAGACCCAGAACAGACTGGAGTATGAATAGGTAAACAATATAACAATAATTTTTATTCCTTCTGTGGGCCACAGGCTCGTTATTGCCCCACAGAAGAGAGCTCTGGGCTCTCCTGAGTTAGGGGCAGCTGGTAGGGCCAGCTCTGGGGGATTGCAGCCTTGGCCTGGGCTAAGAGCCTAGCTGGAGACCTCTTGGCCCTAATAGTCTAGAGCACAGATGAGGGCTACACCTCGCTTGATCCAGTGTCTCTGACTCTTGTCAGTGGGGATCTCCACAGCTATGACGTAGTTGGTGGAATGGCCAGTGGTGGACAGCGTACCTAGGACAAACAGCAATGGAAGCAGGCTGTGTGAAGGGGCCAGGGCTTAGACTTCCTCCTCACCCCGGCTCCTGTGAGGGAGGAGATCCATAGGCCACCCGAGATCAACACTCGGAGCTGCTGCTGCTATAGTGCTAAGGTTCTGAGGGAAAAGGCTTGGATCCCAGAACTGCTGCTTACTTAAGTTAACCTAAGGCAGATGGGTTCCCTTTTCTGGGCTTTGGTGGCCTCACCTCTAGAATCAGGGGACTGGACAAGACCCCAAAGGGTCCCCCACTTTCAGCCACAAAATTCTATGATCCCTGAAGTCTCAGTTGCTTTATCTACAATAATAATAGTAGCTAACATTGGTATAGACAAATGTATAGATGGTATACAGATTGCTAAATCTTTGTACCATCTCCCTCCAAGGACAATTGTGTGCAAGGCACTTTCACGAGCCTTAAAGCACCATAAGCACCACCATATAGAAATATGAACTAAGAAAGTTCAAGATGAGGGCATAAGCTTTTGTAACAGACTCAGGGCTCATGATGCATTCCCTACCTAGACAGGCTTGTCCTAATCACTGCCAAGGTCTCTGAGCCTTGGGGAGAGTCTTGCGAATAACTTGTCTTAGGAACTGTAGGAGGTCAGGTCCTGGTCCCACAAAACCCAGAGACATATTCCAAACACTTGGCACAGAAGAGGAGGCAGGGATGCTTTAGTGGAGAAGCCAAAAGGGTATTCTCTCCCCTGGTCTCTCCTTTTCCCCTCCCTACCCCCACCACACACTCACACACACACACTCACACACACACACACACACACACTTTATGACAGGTGGGGAGGGGAAGATAAGTACATACCAGCTCGAGTCAGAGTCTTGTAAATGGGGCATACATAGAAGCCCCTGGTTGGGGCTTTGCGGTTGGGCATAGGGACCAGCCAGATGACAGCCATCTCTGTGTAGAGTTCCTTGGGTCGAGACTCAGCCAAGGAGAATCTATCAGGGTCCCAGCGTGCCCCCTCCAGGAACAGGCCATGGATGAAGCAGCCCACTTCTGGCCTTATGGTCAGCTCACTCAGTGACTTCCCTATTACCTAGGGGATGGGGGAGAGATCAGTGAGGTGAGGTGATAGGATATTGTCTAAATGGTATCCTGGAATAGAACAGAGAGCCCAGGGAAAGCCTTGCAGTAAGCTCCCAGATAGATTGGGGGAGGTGAATCTGGCTGCCATGCTGAGAACCATGTCTCTGAGATTTTGTGAGTAACTCTTGTAGGCACCTCTTGGCCTCCATAGCCTGGGCTGATCATTTTGGGAGTGGTGGTTGCCTGACAGGTCTAGCTGAAAAGCTCTGAGGCTAAGAAGGCAAGATAGTGCTTCACATGTCCTTCTGCCACCCATCCTCTAGCGGGCTTTGCTTCATTCCTTCAATGCTTGCCAAGCTCCTGATTCCTCAATAGTATCTGAGTGCTATACCTTACCCCTTGACCCTCTTGCTTTTTTTCTGATCCACTCGGTTCTGTGTGAAAAAGGGACCCTTTCAGAAACAGGGTACTGGGGAGAACATCTTTGCAGAATGAATATTCCTTTGGTAAAGGTCTCATTTCCAAGATGTAAAAAATTTATGCAAATAACTTCTTCAGTTGATTAAATGGCCAAAGGATATGAATAGGCAGTTTTCAGAGGAAGAAATCCAAGCTGTTGATAGCCATATGGAAAAATGTTCTAGGTCACACTAATAATTAGAGAAATTCAAATTAAAAACAACTCTGAGGTTTCACCTCATACCCACCAAAAGTGAGTCAATATTAACAAAAAAGGAATATGACAAACGTTGGAGGGGACTTGGGAAAATAGGCACATTAATATACTCTTGATAAAGCTGTGCATTAGTCCAGCCTTTCTGGAAAGCAATTTGGAACTATGCCCTAACAGTTAGTAAATTGTACATACCCTTTGATTCATACCATTCCGAAACCAGAGAAAGAGGAAAAACAGCAGCTCTTTCTGTGGTAGCAAAGAATTAGAACCTAAGGTGGGGGCTGCCCCTCAATTGGGGAATGCCTGAATAAAATATGGTATGTCAATGTGAATAGAATACTATTGTGATAAAAGAAATGACAAAAGACAGTTTTAAAGAAAACTGAGATGAATTGTGTGAACTGATCCACAGTGAAGTGAACAGATCAAAGCATTACACGTTATAGAGTAACAACATTTTAAGGACAAGCATTTTGAAAGTCTTAAAAAACTGATCAACAAAATTACCCGCCGTGATTCCGATGATGAAGCACGCTGCCCCACCTTGTGAAAGAGAGGCAGCGCACAGTGAGACTTATTTTTGGACATAGCTAATTGGAGAATTGCTTTTGCTCACTAACCTTGAATTCGAAGGAGATGGTATCAATGGAGATGACACGCTTTCTAGCATAGTTCTGCAAAGTCCCCGTCAGGAATGCTTGCGGGAAGAAGAAGCCGCTGATCCAGAAAACAGGTGGGATCCCATTCTGGATCCACTTCTCTACAAAGTCAATCCGCTGCAGCAGGTCCATGACCCAAGAAGACAGAGGCTTGAGTGAAGGATAGGCTTTGCCCTTCCAGATCTCTGGCACAGCATTGTGGTATAGGCTGGTGGACATAAGCTCCAGCTGTGAGGACATCACCACCAGTCCCTTCAATGCCTTGAGCACATCCTTGAGAGATCCTGTGATGACGACCAGTAGCTTGTTGTATCTGAAGGACAGATCAGAGGGAAGGGTTTCCTATAGCCTTTGGACCCAAAAGGGGCCGTGCCCTCCCCAACTACATACAGTAAGGCCTTCTTTTTCTAGTAGCAGGTCTGGATCATGGAGAGTCATTTACCTTCCTCATAGAGACTTACAAGGGGGCAGGTAGATGGCACAGTGTATAAAGCACCAGCCCTGCCGTCAGGAGGACCTGAGTTCAAATATGACCTCAGACTTACTAGCTGTGACCCATGGCAAATCACTTAACCTCAATTGCCTTTAAAAAGAGACTTACAAGACAGATGGGCCATGGGTACAACAATGCTGCCTGGGCCACACAGAGGTGGCTCACAGGCTTGCTCAGCCCCAGCAGGTCCAGAAACAACCTGCATCTATCTGGAATTTAGGTTAGTCTTTGGTAGTCAAGAAAGGTTTTCTTATGGATCTCAGCAGGGGTAGACTGACGTCAGTTGAAGGAGGTTCCAATCTAATGACTGTTTTATTAAGTAATTTCAGACAAGGTTGAAGTTGCCTTGAGTTTCTTCCAGTATGCTTAAAAATCCAAACATAACTTAATTTGTATATGGAATTTAGACTTATGGATTTTTCAAAAGATCCAGAAGGGAACTTAGAGATTATCAAGTCCAATGCCTTCATTTTATAGATGGGGAAACCAAGGCAAGGGAATTAACCAAAACCAGGCTGCCATGCAGGTCTAGATGCCAGTCTGGTCTAGACTCCCACTCCCTCCACCACAGGCCCTCCCCCTGTTCTCCCTTGCACCCTCTCCCACGCTGCCTATTTCTGAGGTGGTGAGGCAGGGACATGGAGCCAGCTGTAGGAACAACTGTCTTCCCATAGCATAAAAAAGCATGGCCCAGGTTCTCAGGCGTCACGTTTCCCTCCCCCCCTTCCTTCCTTCCCTCTTCCCTCTCTCCTGCCTGGGAGGGCCGGGCAGTTACCTGATCACTTCCTGCACGAGGACCGTGTTCATGGATTCGTCGTAGAGCACAGGGTATTTTACCATCACTTGGTGCACATTGATGGGATCTGGGATCTTCAGCAGGATGCTCCCAGCAATGTCCTCCACAATCTAGGGGCCCACCCGCAGAGGATGAGAGAGGCTGGACCACAGCACAGCTGCAGCTCACCAAGCCCCTGGCTACAGGTTCCAGCACAACAGGACAGCCACAACCACCCAGGACAGCAGCCCTCAGGCTCCCTCTGCTGTTATTTCCACCTGCTCCATTTGGGGGACAGAGGGGCACCAGACTCACAAAACATGGGAGCTGGATGGGCTCCTGGAAACCTTCTCAGCCAGCTCCTTCACGGTACCCAGAAGGAAACCAAGGCTCAGGAACAGGGATTTTGTTTGTAAAATATGACATCCAAAGCAGCTCATAATAGCCACCTAAATCCTTAGTGATCAAGGCCCCATGTGGGTTACTGGGTGCCAATTAGTAGAGGGAG